TCGTGGATGATTTCACTAACCCGTCCTGCAAGGTTGTCGCCACTATGTTGGCCCTCAATCCGCGGCAGTCCAAGCAGAAATGTGCGCAATTTGCCTTCGTCATCGAGAAAGTGCACGGTCAGGCCGAGCAGCGAAGTGAACTTGCGGGACGTCCACACGACAAAGGAGATGTTAATTCGGCTGAGCGAGCGACCGAGAAGCTCAGTGACGACGCCTTTGTGACGATTGAAGGCTCCCACAATCCAATCACGCATTGTATTATGGGTCGGCAGACTGCCCGACTCAATAACGGCGCTGTTGGTGTATTCCATGAGCTCGCGGAAGTAAGGACTCTCCAGCTTATTGAAAGGGACGTTGTCGCAGGCCACCCACCGAATGAGCAACTGTCGAAAATGTAGTGGGTCAAAAGAGGCTATAAGAGCATTCATTACAGCTTGATCCTTCCCGTGATGGGCGTCCAAGTCAACCATGTCGAAAAGGGTTCGTTGCTTCTTTCTGCATGGTGACATTTGCCCGCTTCTGTTGACGCGGTGGACATCTTCCATATGACCGTTTGCTTGGCTCGTAGAAGCAGCGTCGTACATGTGGGTGATGGCGGCTCTTGTCCGATGGCAGTGTTTGCAGAGCCAAAACCGGCGGCCGGAATCATTTCTTTCGACATCGTATCCGTGCTCCCATACCCATCCCGTCCGTTGTCTTCGTCTGTGCCTGCTAGCTACATACCCTGGAAGGCGATTCCAATCGATGCCTTCGTAGCCAGAGTGCGCAGCCGAGGAAGTGGTGTCCACGGTCCCCTCTCTATGGATATCGAACCCAGTGAACTCGGTTGCTGTATCGAGTTCGCTGTAGGGGGTAGAAGCGGGGGCTAGTTCACTGGCACCCATAGAAACCATCGTCGGGAGAGGCTCCAGGAGAGTGCTGAGCAGAACACGGTTTGGACGCGTGGAGCGCGTCTGGGTGGGTGGTGTCAACTCGTACCTTACATTAGCGTGCATTGAACGGGGGGGTGGGTGCCAAAACGTGGGACTGCGCGTCATGATTGGCCATGCGCGCTTATCCAAATGAATTCAAATAATCAAATTATCCAGCTCTCCGATTTGATTTGCTTACAAATCAATGTTGGTCGATTTGAATTTGGATAGATTTGGATTTATTTGAGTTCATTTGATTTGAATTTATTTATTG